AACAACCTAAGTGCCCATCATCAATGAATGGATAAAGGAGATGTGGCGCATATATACAATGGAATATTACTCAGCCATAAAAAGAAATGAAATTGAGCTATCTGTAATGAGGTGGCTAGACCTAGAGTCTGTCATACAGAGTGAAGTAAGTCAGAAAGAGAAAGACAAATACCGTATGCTAACACATATATATGGAATTTAAGAAAAAAAAATGTCATGAAGAACCTAGGGGTAAGCCAGGAGTAAGACAGAGACCTACTGGAGAACGGGCTTGAGGATATAGGGAGGGGGAAGGGTGAGCTGTGACAGGGCGAGAGAGAGGCATGGACATATATACACTAACAAACGTAAGGTAGATAGCTAGTGGGAAGCAGCCGCATGGCACAGGGATATCGGCTCCATGCTTTGTGACCGCCAGGAGGGGTGGGATAGGGAGGGTGGGAGGGAGGGAGACACAAGAGGGAAGAGATGGGAATATATGTATATGTATAACTCATTAACTTTGTTATAAAGCAGAAACTAACACACCATTGTAAAGCAATTATACCCCAATAAAGATGTTAAAAAAAATCATACATCCATCACACACACATATCCACTGTCAATAGTTTTTAAAGTCATAGCACCCATTGATTCTCTAACTTGGGGTTCTCCTGGGCTATTTTTCTCTCACTGTCCTCTTACTTTCCATTCCCTAAATCCTTGCGGTATCAGGGTAACCTGAGTAACCGGTGGTAACCTGAGGCCCACAGGTAAGCCAAACTTCTTCTTTCTATTACGTCCACTACACCCATACCTTTCCACCGAATCCTTCTTTCACTAAAAGTCCACAAATTGAGGTCTTTGCATCTCTTTTCCTATACCTACCTCCTATTTCACGTTTCTGGGCTACAAGGGAATCACTGAAAATCCACAGAAGTACCTAAAGGAATCAGAAAGGAACAAAACATAAACTAAATGTGTGAATTATCCACAACATAGATCACAGAGCATGTAGAATTCAGAATACGCAAAAGACAAAAGTTTTAGTTTTAGTTTAGCATTGCTTCCATGGTTGGCTAGTCTTTTCGTCCTCCACCACCTCTGTTCATGCCCTTCAGCGAGGCTCCATCCATCTACCTATTTACCCATCACCAACGCATAAATCCCAAGCAGCAATGCATCATCGCATCCTTCGTAAGTACCTGCCTCTCCCTTTGTTTAGAATGTGAGGGATGCTGCGGAAGCACAAACTCACACACAAGGCTCCAATATTCTTGGTTTAATCCCCGTAAGGAAAGCAAGCTCAGACTGTCAAGAAAACAAAAAGCAGTTTGACCGGAAGACGTCTAATTCATGGACGACTTGGAAGCCACAGATATGTCATTCCTGCCCTCAGAATTCAGAGGAGACAGAGAGAGAACACTGAGGGCTGTTGAGGGGAGGAAGCAGGACGTGGCCATCTGTGTCATAATGACATCCACCACAGGGCTCCCTGAAAATGTCTTTCCACGAAGAACACCGGGAGAAGGGAGGTTCAGAGCGGAAGGACAGTGGGATGTGTGCACGTAAGCAGCAGTGCGTTCCAGGGCTGCGTAGAGCAGCAGCCAATGCTGCGAGTGCTAGTTGTCCCCAGGAGGCCAGTCTTCAACGTCTCAGCCCCTGTCCGTGGTGGAGAGAGCACATAACCTCTGCAGCCACCTGCACCATTTGACACCATGGAAAGCTGGGGGGCGCGTCCAGTTGCCAGACCTATGTGTCGTAAATATTTGCAACAGAGCATTGCATTCAACAGAACTCAACGATGACACACAAAATGAATTGAAAAGCTGTAGACACCTTAAGTGAACTCCCTGAAAATGATGAGCTCTTTGAGCCAATTCCCCACCCTCAGATACCTCAGTCTGCACAGGCTCCAAATAGCTCCTCTCTTGTCTCACATACATGACCTTGGCCCAGATCTCTCATTTGGGTTCTTATTCTCTATTTCCTCACCCTCCCTCCCTCAACTGATTAAGACAAGGTTGAATTTTGCCTCTCTGGGCTTCACTTAATTTTCTCCTCCACTAATTATCATACTAGGATTGTGTGCACATGGGGTTATGTGCGGACCGTCTTGCGGAATTTTCCTTTATCCCGTCATAGTGGGTTTGGATGCCAGATGCATGTCTATGATGGAGTGAATCCAATACTACCCTAGGCCTCACTTTACTCATGTGTATAGTGGGCAGAATAATGTCTGCAACCTGTGGTTGACGGGGAGGGGTCTTCAATGAGACAATGTAAATAAATAGTAAGTAGGATGTAACACATAGTAAATGTTGGATGAATGTTAGCTCTTGCTTTTATTATTATTATTCTCCACTTCCTGACAGAGCAGCAAGACCCTCCACTTTTTACCACCAAGGCGACGACATGGGCTCCACAACTTTACTAAGAGCAAGGTGTGAGGGGCAGGGCACATCTTGGGGCCAGGACAAGGAAGAGTTGTGTAGACCAAAGCATCCGAGGGGTGTTCACAGGCGGAAATGGCATTTCGTCCAGGGCCTATTCACCACATTGGGTGGTTGCCCTTTTCTTCCACAAGCTTCCCCTTTGAAACGCATGCCCATGATGATTCCTGCTGTTGAGGCAGTCCTGGGCAGCTCTGGCCCACAGTGACTTTTGCCTATCAATGGACACAGCCAGCCATGTCTTTTGGAGGCAGACCCTACTCCCAGGAGGAGGCTGATAAGTCGAGGAGGCATGGAGAGGGAACGGCGTGTGCCAAGCGCTCACACATAGATACCACCATATTGAAGCAGGTCTTGCTCTTCCTGTGAGAGGTAGTGGCGAGGTGAAGGGAAGCTCCTTACGTGTTCAGTGTAACAACACCTTGCACGTGATGAAGGTGAGATTCAAACCCTGGTCCTTATCTTGGCAACATGGCAAGTGCTCTGACCGTTCTAGTTTCTGGATGAAGTATACAGCCTGGATCCCGTCTTTCCAGAACTTAAAACTCACTGATCCGTTGGGAAGGCAAAGGCAGTACGTTCAAACAGTCACACTTTCACACGTGTTTATACAGGGGTACACGTTCATATCCAAGACACACACGGGGTTGTTATTCAGCATAAGTTCTCCACGTGTGAAGACGTCCACTGACCATGGAGAACAGAAGATGGAGCAGCGTCCCAGAGGACCCGCTGGGACAGGCGTCGGCCTCCCAGCTGCTCCACGCTGTAGGACTGAGCTGGCCGCCTGGCAGCGTGGGCGCAAACACAGGCTGTCAGGGCAGCTGGTGCAGAGCCTAGGAGCCACCTGTTACATAAGTTCTTTTCACATTTTATCTATGGAGTCAGCAACACCTCTGCATACCTCTTGACTCTCAGCCCTGTGCACACTCACCCTCGCACACTAAAGTTCATATTCCCACATAGATCCATTCATGACCCCTCACGTGAGGCCACACACAACACACACAGACAAA